GCAAAGCTGAAGTAAATTCATTAATTAACTGACTAATTAAATGATAATTGAGGATTAACAATGAACAAATGAAGAAATACTGAAGGGAAAAAACAAGAACAGAACATACAAAACTACAACTTTAGTCACAGCTTTATAATGATTAAATCATTTAAATGATCAGCGGATGATTAAACAACTCTACAAACATCATCACCAGCTACACTTATTACTTAATACATGTATTTTTGTATAACATCTACTAAAGTTCTTCTTGATAAAAAGTTAAAGTTTTACATCACCATCATGGAGAACAGAGTTTGCTTTAGTTGGGCTCTTAGCCCTGTTATTTTTAACATTTATATATCTTCGGTTGCCATTGTTAAGAACTTTGTTTAAAAAGCTCCTTTGTTGTGGCAAGCCAGCCTAAAACCTAAATAAGATCTGGTGATGTTCATGTTGCTATTAAATGGCAGAGTCTGTTCTCATTTAGTATAATAAAAATTACTGCTCCTATTAAATGTTAAATCTATTGTTTTACATTACATGTCTATATATGGCAATGATTTCTGGAAGTTTTTAAGAATATCTTGGACAATAACACTGCCCTATGGTGTAAATCACACTCAAAGAGACATCAATAATCAGCATATGAACCTCAATAATGGTGACAACTAACAAAATTAACAGTTTAACTCACAAACAGGCAACTGAAAGTCTAAACATAAACAACAGCAGAATCAAACACAAATAAACAAAACTGTTAGACCATTATACAACATTTATTTATACCGCAATGCATGCTGGGATATTTGTACTGTGCCACTCCCAGCATGCATTGCAGCATGAAACATTTGAGATGTTACCATTGTTGAGATACAAGGTCAGATTCATGAGGTCTGAGTGTGTATTTGTCATAACTGAACTGTTTTTGTATGTTAGTTCTTAACTGTTAAGTAATTACGGAGGAATCTTTTCTGTTTCCACTTCTCATTAATTAAATTAATACCTGCAACTAAGCATAAAATCTATTGTATGAGGCCCTTCTTCCAGATTTATAACAAATCATATATCAGAACTAATTTCAGACAAATAGATTTCTCTATTTATTGACTTTCCAACTTGATTGCTATAATACAAGCATTGTAATATTTTTTTATTATAGTAATTGGACAGTCTGAATTAATAAGTTCAAGGGTGAAGAGCCCAACTAAACCAGCCCCTCACTCCATTACGGTGACACAAAAAACACATTAATTTCTGTTGGATCTCAATGAGAATAGTATGAAAGTCAAATCAGTCAGTAATAAGTGTGTGTCTGCTGTTGTTTGTGGAGTTGTTTAATGATCCTCTGCTGAGACTGAAGGTGTTTTATTTTATTTGATTTTATTTAATGTTGTAACTCAAGTCACTGTTTGTGTTTCTTGTTTATTTTCTTCAGTAATTGTAATTATTAACAGCAGGTGTTCATCAGTGTCTGAATTCACTCATTAGTGTTCATTAAAACTGTCAGGTGAACTATATTAGTTAACTAGTGTATGAAATAGTGAACAAGGACACAAAGCGTGATTTCAAACACTGACTTCAAAACATCGAATCTGAACTCTGTTAGCTCACAGTTTTCTGCAGTTGGTTACTTTCTCGAAAACAAAAATGTTACCCAGAAAGCACTGTTTTTAACAGAATATTACCGTTTTAGTGAAAAAACATTATTTTACCGTAGAATCTGACCGTTTTTTAACAGTAATTTTTTACAGTGTGGTTTAGGAAAACATAGATATTTTGATATTTCTTTAAAAAAAAATCAAATTCCAGCAGAGTCCAAGTTTTAGTTTTTTTGTATTAAAGACCCTTCTTTCATTTGTATTTTTGGGGGTAGCACGGTGGCGCAGTGAGTAGTGTCACATCCATCAGTGACCACCTGAGGGCGCTGTAGTGCATCAGGACTCAGTTAGCACTACAGCGTCCCAGAAGAACTACATTCTCATACATGCCCCGCGCACACACCGGAACACCTACACTGACCTGTCATCACATCTGTTTTGTGTTACTGTTGATTATCTGGACTATTTATACTACCATTTCAGGGATATTTCCGGGGCCAGCTGATTTAACTAGAGCCCCTGGAGAGTCTTCTGGAGCTGTGTGAAACTTCAGCCTCTGCTCTATGCCCACAATGCCCGCCAGTGTCAGCTCCAGTTCCAGAGCAAGCTCCTTCTCCAGATGTCACTGCTCTCACGTCTCAAACCACCAGACGAGGGAGGCGCAGGAAGAGGACTGCTCCAGCCCCAGAGCGCCCGCCAGTGTCGGCTCCAGCCCCAGAGCGCCCGCCAGTGTCGGCTCCAGCCCCAGAGCGCCCGCCAGTGTCGGCTCCAGCCCCAGAGCGCCCGCCAGTGTCGGCTCCAGCCCCAGAGCGCCCGCCAGTGTCGGCTCCAGCCCCAGAGCGCCCGCCAGTGTCGGCTCCAGCCCCAGAGCGCCCGCCAGTGTCGGCTCCAGCCCCAGAGCGCCTGCCAGTGTCGGCTCCAGCCCCAGAGCGCAGTACAATGCCAGTTCCAGTCCGGCTCCTGGCCTTACCGGCGCCAGTCAAGCTCCTCGCCCTGCCGGCCCCAGCCCGGCTCCTCGCCCTGCCGGCCCCAGCCCGGCTCCTCGCCCTGCCGGTCCCAGCCCGGCTCCTGACATTACCAACGCCATCCAGACGTCTTGCCCTGCCGGCACCTCCCAGACATCTTGCCCTGCCGGCCCCAGTCAGGCTCCATGCCCTGCCGGTTCCAGCTCGGCTCCTTGATCTGCCGACCTCGTTCGGGCTCCTTGCTCTGCCGACTCCAGTCCAGCTGCCTCCAGTCCCGCTGGCTCCAGCCCAGCTGCCTCGAGTCCCGCCGGCTCCAGCCCAGCTGCCTCCAGTCCCGCCGGCTCCAGCCCAGCTGCCTCCAGTCCCGCCGGCTCCAGCCCAGCTGCCTCCAGTCCCGCCGGCTCCAGCCCAGCTGCCTCCAGTCCCGCCGGCTCCAGCCCAGCTGCCTCCAGTCCCGCCGGATCCTGTCCAGCTGCCTCCAGTTCAGCCGGCTCCTGTCCAGTTGCCTCTCCAGCTGGCTCTCTGGGGGTTCCCTTCCTTTTGTTTTCTGCAGGATCATCCTTGGGTCATCCCTCCCGCCCCTCCCTGGTGGTCCTTTCCATTATTTGGGATGGATTCCCCGGCTGCACCCTGGCTTCCTGCCGGGGTGCCTGACCCACAGACTGACCCTGATCTGGCCCTCCCATCCCTCCCTTTGTTCCTGCTCCGCTCCGCTCCCCCCTCTTGGAACCAGTCTGGGAGCGTTTGGAAGCCGCTCTTTAGAGGGGGGGGTAATGTCACATCCATCAGTGACCACCTGAGGGCGCTGTAGTGCATCAGGACTCAGTTAGCACTACAGCGTCCCTGAAGAACTACACCTTTTTGTTTCTTGTTTTGATCACGCTAAAACGTGACAGAGTAGTACAATCGCCTCACAGCAATAAAGTCGCTGGTTCAAGCCCCAGATGGGTCAGTTGGCATTTCTGTGTGGAGTTGGCATGTTTTTCCCCGTGTTGAATTGGTGAATTGAAAAAGATAAATTGGATGTGGTGTATGTGCGTGTGTGCAAGAGTGTGTGGGTGTTTCCCAGTGTTGGTTTGTGGCTGGAAGGACATCTGCTGCATAAAACATATGCTGGGTTAGTTGGCGGTTCATTCTGCTGTGGCAACCCCTGATTAATAAAGGGACTAAGCTGAAAAGAAAATTAATTTAGCTGCACAGTCAATTCAATTCAGCTTTGTTTGTATAGCGCTTTTACAATGTAGATTGTGTCAAAGCAGCTTCACATAAATGGTCATAGTACCTGGAACAGGGTAGTTCAGTTTTTAGGGTTTTAGTTCAGTTCAGGTAGTTATGTTCAGTATGGCTTAAAATCATTACTGAGAGTCCAAACACTGAAGAGCAAATTTATTGATGCGTAGCTCTACCGATCCTGAACCATGCAAGCCAGTGGCGACAGCGGAGAGGGAAAAAAAAACTTCACCGATAGGAGAGTGAAGAAAAAAAACCTTGAGAGAAACCAGACTCAGTTCGGCACAACCATTTAAATTTCTCCGCTGGCCAAAGTTTTAGTTTGTTCATATTAAAAAGTATTCTTTAGTTTGTATTATCCACTTTTTTATTGGAATTTGGTTTAAAATTTCAATATAGTTATTGCAGAAAAAAGTTGTAAGACAATTGTGCAGCATTTGAGAAAAATGACAGGGTTCACCTTAAATTTGTCTCAAATAATTTTGTTAAAAAACTTGACTAAATTGTGAATTATGTGATTATCTTAAATCATATTGTGAATCGGGTAAATCATTATATCCCTACTTAAACACATCTGTTTAGCTGTCCATTTACTGAATGAAGCAGAGAAAAGCTGTTCCTATTAAACATACTTCACTGAGTCAGTTTAACAATGAAGGGATTGATTGAATAAGTCTTATGAAGGAAGGTTTTGCAGAACAATTTCATGCTCCCTTGTAAAAGTATTTTGTAGTATTTTTAAAAGAAAAAATACAGTATTTTATTTTGATACATGTTGTGGCTGCTTTATTTTGTAGTTTATTTTGATGCACTTAAAATTGAGGCTTTTATGTTTAAAATTGGGTTTTCATGTTCGAAATACATTTCAACGCTGTACATGCAAACGTTTAACCAATTTTCAAAGTTATAACTTTTTTTCTGGCTACACTAGTGGCACAAACATAGATGTAATTTGAAACATTTATTTACATTATAAAAAACCATACATGTAAACTTAAATTACTTTAAATTCTATGAATGCATCTACACTAAACCTACCTTTAATCTCACTAAACCTACTAGCCTCTTGAACACACTTAGTCTATATATACACACATCATAAATCATAAGTCGTAAAATCAATGATTTCGAGCTGTAATAAAACATTACGTGCATGCATGGTTCGAACACATAGCCCACAAATAGCTCAAAATCCGTGTACACTGAAACCGCTATTTCTTACCTGCCTAATTCTGGGCCCATGTTATAGAAATCCTCCACCGTCGCATCTCGGCGCGAGCCATCGACCCAATATTCCACTGGGCGCGCGTCGGATCGAGAGGTGGGCATGATGGACCCTCGGATGACAGTTCCAATAGCCTACAAATCCCTTTGATCAGGGATGCCAGGAAACCGTATTATTTTTAACATCTGGGTGTCAGTTTAAACGATACGGTTTTGTTTTAGTCCTCAAATCTTTTCCTGATCTAAAATATCCAGGTTTACATGTATGTATTCGTGCGCGTAGCTACTCACAAATCCCAGAATATTTTCTAAACCCAGAAAAATGTATTTATCTATTCTACGTCATCAATATGCTATATTACGATTTGTACGCGGTTTTCGGAAATAATCTTGACCACGGGTCTTTAGATGTTAAAGGCCCTCGCACATCGCACATCGAACGTCAAACCTCCCCATGACATAAAATTAAGGAAACATCATAATCCTGCGTTTCCCGATGCCAAGCGACAGAATGATCCTTGCATTTGTCTCCGCTGGAAGAAAAAAATATATACCGTCTTATTTGATGCTTCTAAAAAACCCAATGATTACTGTAAAAGGCGTTAAGATGAGGGAAACGTCGTTACAGGTAAATATCACACTGATGTTTGTGCTGGTAGCCTAAGGGGCGGGGACAGAGAGGTTATCTGTCTCACACACACACACACAGAGAGAGAGAAAGAGAGAGAGAGAGAGAGAGAGAGAGAGAGAGAGAAAGAGAGAGAGAGAGAGAGAGAGACGTCTCGTCTCATAATCCATGGCGCGTTGCATTGGTTGCAACCCTAAAGCTGAATACTCAGTCTAAATGAATAGACACACATTTTTTTTATTTCATATTTGACGAATGAGAATTTTACCTAAGTGCATAATAATCAGCGACGAAAATGTAACCATTAAGCTATTGTAGCCTAGATTCAAATAAGGACTATACAGAGCGTTTTTTTTTGTCACTTGCGAGGTTAGGTTGTCCACGATTTCGACATTGCCGTCGAACCATGTTTGCTGAGATATTGAACAATGTAGTGGTGGTTTTTAAATAATGTTTTCAGGAGGGAAAAATCTATACCACTGGCCCAGGATTAAATGCAAATATTAATTATTTAATGGGTCATTCTACAGAAACGAAACGTGCGTTTTTTTCTCCCTGCCTTCGCCGCAATATTTCTAGGTTTCTGTGCAATATTGCCAAAAAAGTGCCAGGAGTAAAAATGTTACTATTTACCCCACCTATGGGGCAAGTTGTAACAGACAGGGGGTTATAACACATGTATTTAAAGGCAGATTTCCCACAATTAATTTAAATTCAATTTAGCCATATTTCCTCAGTAACTGGTTCATTTATTTTTTATTCTACATAGCACAGTATGTTAATGTATTTATTTGTTTATTGGATAAACACATTTGAATCTATTTGCATTATTATCCATTTATCCATTATTATACAATGCATTTATTTGCATTATTAGCAATAAAATATTTTTATCTATTAAAACAATATTTTCTATAAAAAAAAAAAACATTCAAAACAGTCCAACAGTTTGTTGCTTAATTGTAACACCCTGTTACAACTAACCCTGCTGTGTCATGATTTCCTCAAAACTGGCAAGCAAAGTCACTGTGTGTTTCTTATATCTTTCAAAATGGTTTCATTTTTTAGCCTAGAAGACGGTAATCACTAAAATATAAGACTTTAAGTTCATACCTTCACAGATTTTTTAAAAACAAAAAATATTGAGTACAATAAAAAAATACTTTTATGCTGTAAAAGCGGTTTATCCTGTGTTTTTCATCCAAATTTTGCGCAAAATATTTCGATAATTGGCAGGAAGACGTCGGCTGACACTGTGGTGAAAACCTCGGAAGCATGCCATGATTAACTTTGAGCAAATACTTTAAAACTCCGTGTTACATTTAACTTTGCATTACTTTGAGCTCTGCACTCCCCTACACTTGAATATAAAAAAATAAAACTAATTAAACAAAATGTTATTTAAACAGTTACACAATTTTGAGTCAACAAAGTGGCAATAATTGTTTATTTAAATTTTAAATACTTCTGTAAAATTACAATCATCATAAAACTGCATGTTTTGTACAGAAGTAAGGGGATTCATTTTTTTAAGGTCAAAAACATATAAAAAATTTAAAATACCAAAAACAATATGTATAACATCACATATAATGTAAATGACTTAACCCTTCGATGCACTTCTTATATCTTATATTGTTTTTAACTTAAGGAAATCCTTATGTTTGTTTTTCCGGCCTTATTTTACAAACAAACACAGTTTTTGTATTTTATTAAAATTACCCATATAGGAACCTTTGCTGTTGCAAAAGCATTAATTGCTGAACACTTTGTTACCTGGCACACGTTTCACAACTCAACATGTCTGATTTCATCTATTTAATGCTTGCAAGTGTAAAAAAATTATGTCACACACACACACACACACACACACACACACACACACACACACACACACACACACATATATATATATATATATATATATATATATATATATATATATATATATAATGTAATATATATATAAGGGGGTATGGGAGTTAGATTGTTTACTGTGGTTTTCCGTTTTGTATTTTCTTTTCTTTTTTTTCTCTTTTTCTTTCTTGCTTTTATTCATTTATTATTATTATGTTTACACTGCTCTATTACTCCGATTCACACACTAAAATGTGGATACATATGATTTCTAATGGCTATTACGGTTTTTTTTTCAAATGTTTTGCCACAAATTTCAGAATCCCAATGTCAATTTTCAAAACTCTAGACACAAAACTCTAAACACTTTTAACACAAGCTCTCCAGTGTTCAAAACTCTGCATGCTGTGTTCATTTCCTTAAAGAAGTCTTGCATTTGCAGGATCATTGGTTCACATAATATTTTTTATCACACACATACTACAGGAACATTACTTTAAATCACTAGCGCACAAGATGCACATCGTTTCAATAAACAATCTTTAACAATCATTACATATTGTTCTTTAAAATATATAAGGTTTCATTATATAGGTTTATACATAAGTGTAGAAGAAACAGTACAGAAAAACTTATTCAATTATACTATAGTGTCAGTTTACTGTAATTTTTTCCTAACGTCCCCATATAGAAAGCTGATACATGGCATAATATATGGCAACATATGCAAATTACAATTGGATTTCACAAACAGTATATAAAATGTCATAGTCAATAAATTGTCAAAACAGTGCAAAAACACTGTTTACATTTTTTCAATCATATATTTATTTATACAACAGTTCTGTCTGGTTCTCGAATCTGATTGGCTGATAGCCGTGATATATTTAAGTAATATCAGCACTTCGCCCACATACAGCCAGCAAAAAGCAGACACTACAGATCTAAAGTTTAAAAGATGCTTGCTCAGCTGTTTAACTGTCAGCTTATGATTTGAATCCAATGCGGAAGAAAGTAGTTCCTCATACAAAAGGGTTTTTGAGACTTTCCTTGTTTGATTTTGTTTTTTATATACACGATTATGCCGTCAAACTGTTGTATAAATGCAATATCAAACTCGTAGCAGTGCAATATGGCTGTATATCGGCACTGTTGGGAGCACTAATGCACGCCTCCCACCAGTGCTAATGTACACTTAAAAATTGTCCCGTTAAAAAAACAGTAAAATACTGGCAGCTGCAGTTGCCAGCAATGTACTGTTATTTTACAGTATGTTGCTGTAAAAATACATGGACTACATTGATTTACACAATACTCAAGTGAACTCATTTTGCTCACTGAAAGCAACTGCCTCAACTTGGTCAACTGCTGAATGAGTTTATGAAGTAATTTGCTATATATGCTTAGAAGCATACTTATAATGATAACTTATTTTAGTTAATTAAAAAAGTTCGGTTTAACTCTAATGTCTTATATTTCACAACAGCACACATACATGTAAATCTGGAACTACCAGAGAGATTCTGACTGCATCAGCCACTAAATAATCTTTAAATAGAGAAACATGCAGAATAACATCAGCAGTTCACTGTTCATCTTTAACTCATACACTGGCTCTACTCTCCTCCACAACGGTGACATACAGAAGAAATTAGCTTCAGGTTTTACAGTAAAATACTGTTTTTTCCTTGATTTAACAGTAATCTACTGGCAGCTGTGGTTGCCAGCAATCTACTGTTTTTTTACATTCTATTTCCGTAGTGTAAATTAACAGTATATTACTGTTAAAATACATTTTTACACTGTGTTTTTACCTCTCACACCTTTAACCCTTTAAACCCCAGAGCATATACTTCAGTTTTTATTGAAGTGTCCACACTACTGAGTGTTCAAGAAACATGTAGCAAAGCTGAAGTAAATTCATTAATTAACTAACTAATTAAATGATAATTGAGGATTAACAAAGAACAAATGAAGAAATAGTGAAGGGAAAAAACAAGAACAGAACATACAAAACTTTAGTCACAGCTTTATAATGAAATAACCTATAGAACAACAAATGATTAAACCATTTAAATGATCAGCGGATGATTAAACAACTCTACAAACATCATCACCAGCTACACTTATTACTTAATACATGTATTTTTGTTTAACATCTACTAAAGTTCTTCTTGAGAAAAAGTCAAAGTTTTACGTCACCATCATGGAGAACAGAGTTTGCTTTAGTTGGGCTCTTAGCCCTGTCATTTTTAACATTATTATATATCTTGGCTGCTGCAATTGTTAAGAACTTTGTTTAAAAAGCTCCTTTGTTGTGGCAAGCCAGCCAAAAACCTAAATAAGATCTGGTGATGTTCATGTTGCTATTAAATGGCAGAGTCTGTTCTCATTTAGTATAATAAAAATTACTGCTCCTATTCAATGTTAAATCTATTGTTTTACATTATATGTCTATATATGGCAATGATTTCTGGTAATTTTTAAGAATATCTTGGACAATAACACTGCTCTACGGTGTATATTGCACTCAAAGAGACATCAATAATCAGCATATGAACCTCAATAATGGTGACAACTAACAAAATTAACAGTTTAACTCACAAACAGGCAACTGAAAGTCTTAACATAAACAATAGCAGAATAAAACACAAATAAAGAAAACTGTAAGACCATTATACAACATTTATTTATACCGCAATGCATGCTGGGATATTTGTACCGTGCCACTCCCAGCATGCATTGCAGCATGAAACATTTGAGATGTTACCATTGTTGAGATACAAGGTCAGATTCATGAGGTCTGAGTGTGTATTTGTCATAACTGAACTGTTTTTGTATGTTATTTCTTAACTGTTAAGTAATTACGGAGGAATCTTTTCTGTTTCCACTTCTCATTAATTAAATTAATACCTGCAACTAAGCATAAAATCTATTGCATGAGGCCCTTCTTCCAGATTTATAACAAAACATATATCAGAACTAATTTCAGACAAATAGATTTCTCTATTTAGTGACTTTCCAACTTGATTGCTATAATACAAGCATTTTAATAATTCTTTATTATAGTAATTGGAGAGTCTGAATTAATAAGTTCAAGGGTGAAGAGTCCAACTAAACCAGCCCCTCACTCCATTACGGTGACACAAAAAACAACTTAATTTCTGTTGGATCTCAATGAGAATAGTATGGAAGTC